AGCCACATTCCCAGCCCTATTTTGTATTTTATTTAGGGATAGGGTCTCGCTGAGTTGCTGCCTTGCTTTTTGCTGAGGCTGGCTTTGAACTTGTGATCCTTCTACCTCAGCCTCCTGAGCCGCAGAAATTATAGGCATGTGCCACTSTGCCTGGCCCCCAGTTCTTTCTTTCTTTTTTAAAAAAATTTTAGTTTGAGGCCGGTTCTCAATAAGTTACCAAGGCTGGCTTTGAACTTTCAATCCTCTTGCCTCAGCCTCCAGAGTTGCTGGGATAACAGGTATGTGCCACTGCGTCCAGGAGGACCTCATTTTTTAGGTAATTAATGTTTTCTACAGAACCCTGTGCATGCCTGGTTATGGATATTTCCCTCTGAATATTTTTACAGCTGCATTTGCTAAGGCTTCCTAGATTTTGTGGTCCCAGACCAGTTTCTATTTAATTTTCCCTTATCGTATAAGGCATTTCAATTCCTACCTACATCTGTGTGCGTCACAAGACTTGGCTCTGATTTCTCAAGATAGACTTTTCATTTCCYGCACAGAACTCAGTGCAAGGATGAACTTCCTTTCTGCTTTCTTGGGCTGATGGTAATTTTTCTATTCCCCGTTAAATAGAGAAAACAGCCATTGCAAGTCTGCACTATTAGGCAGGTGCTTCACCAGGCTTCCTGCTTCATGTAGGCCATAACGTTTATTTCCTATCCCTACATGGAAATAAAGTATCAGCCCCAAGCCAGGAGAACCTCTATCCATGCCCTTAAATCCTCCTGTGTGGCTGAGTCTTCACTTGCAGAACCAGGTCCCCTCCTGATTTTCTGAAAACCTGACATTTCTCAGTTTCTTTATGATCCATATTGTATTTACGATTCTTTTATTTCTATGTCATGATAGCAGGATTGGGGATTGCATCAGACCAGATGTCATGTTGTTGGAAACCGAAGCCCACATGTGGATGGGTTCTGTAGATTTTATTTTGAAAAAAGAAAGAGCTTTATTGCAAATGAAAATAAATAAATAAATAAAAGGACTAGTCCAATACYCTCATTGTGAAAAGGAAAGAAGCCCAGGGAGATGAAGGACCTGCTAGTGTTCACATTCTTCCTAGGAATAGAGCTATTCTCCCAATCCCCTCCCCTCCCCTCCCCTTATCTCCCACTCCCCCTCTGCTTTCTTTCTTCATGTTTTCCTCCCATGAATTGTATTATACATTACATCCGGGGTCTTGAGACCTCTGGTAGACAAAGTGCCCATGGGTCAGGTACAATGGCAATTTTGTGAATTGAGTGTAACTGTCACACCAAACGCCATTAACACCTTCAGGAAGGGTCCTGTCATCATTTGGTTATGAAGAGCTGGGTTTATTCTACAAAGAGAGTATGGCCTTTCAGTTTCACTGTAGAACAGTTATGAATATTATATCAAGGTATATTTGTGGCTTCAARTAATTATTTTTTCTTTGCCACTCTTGACTATACCAATAAGTCAGTTAGGGTTACAAATATTTATATGACAGATAATAAATGAATAACCTTATTGTTTGAGGCCATACCTACAATTTCATTAAAAAAACAAAACCCAAAAAACCTAAACAAACAAACTGTGGAAATCCAGTGGCAAATATTGGGGGGGGGGCGGGGAAACGCCTGTCAATCAGCGGGATCTCCTAACTMACGCCTGTCAATCAACAGAACCCCTGGCCAATCCTGGAGTTCAGCCAGCTCCCCTGACCAACCCCAGCGGGACAAGGGACCCTAAAAATCCCCTTTCCTGTCCCAACCCCTTCCTGTCGTGAGCCCCATAAAATCCCARTCGGGTCAAGTTCCCACGGGGTTTCTCCTCAGACCCTTYTCCTGTGCACTATGTCTGTCAGATCGAGTTCCGCCTGGGAGTGATATCCCCAATAAAGCCTCATTCAGCGCCTTTTAAAATCCGCCTCCTTTGATTGCCGCTGCCTTTGCCTGATCTTACAGTTACCTTTGGACTCTTGTTACTCGTTTATGCCTGGTTCACGGTTCTTCTTTCCAAGTTTTTGTTTGCATCATGTATTATCAAAAGTAACTTGCATGTCTTTTAAAGCCAGCTGCCCCCAGTGAAGTGTTGGTTTGTTAAGAAAAGTCAACAAACCATTGAGTGACTTAAGTAACTGATAGACCTTCAAAAGGCCTTATTTCTTTCATCCTAACATGCCTAGGTATCCATAAAGGTGGCCGTTTTTCTTTCCATGAAAACAAAACAAACAAAACAAAATGTTAACTTTCTCTGCCTTTTTTTTACCCCCCTGGTACTGGGCATTGAAGGTAGGGGCACTCCACCACTGAGCCACCACCCAGGCCTTTTAAAATTCAACTACCATTTTCACAAGGGAGAGGAGATAAACAAAGTTAACCACTCTCTCTGTAAGGGCAGGATCAAAGTTCTGCCACAGTACTGTGTCAAACGGTGTCAGAGTCCTGAGCCTACTGGGTGGAACCTGCTAGAAATGCTAACCTGGTGTGTATGTTCATTATTACTGATGCTGGTGATGTTTACACCACTGTTTAGTGAGTAAGTACTAAAAGCCAGGTAACCATGTTAAAATACTTCATTTACAAAATTTTATTGAATCCTCCCAAAGAACCTAACAGGAGTTATATTCCCATCTTATAGCTCACGAAACTGAGACTCAGAGGCATGAAAATACCCCAAGTCACCTGGCTAGTGCACGTGGTCCACTATGTGACACCGAAGTCTATAATCTTACCTTTGAATGATGAACTTGGCTAACAGATGTGCAATTTACACTTCTGAACTCTACCTGCAAGGCTTTGTTATGGGGAATTCCTTTTCTCCTTAAAAGCTACTTACCTAAACAATTTGAGATTGTCTGCAAGCTTGGGGATGTCAGTAATGTCCTCCTAGGGAAAATAGATCACATTTCACAAGCAGGAATTCCATAGGTGGTTCTGATCCTCTACATCTGCACTGTCCAATATAGTAGCCCTTGCCACAGATAGATTTTTAAATTTGAATGAATTGAAATGAAACAAAATGATAGCCAGGTGCAGTGGTGAACACCTGTAATCCCAGTGGCTTGGGAGGCCAAAGCAGGAGGATCGCAAGTTCAAAGCCAGCCTCAGCAACTTACTGAGGCTCTAAGAAACTTATCAAGACTCTAATAAAATATAAAACGGGCTGAGGATGTGGCTCAGGGGTTAAAAGCCCCTAGGTTCAATGCCTGGTGCCAAAAATAAAAATAAAATCAAACGATAAAGCTCTATCCTTTAGTCACAGTAGCCAAATTTCCAGTAGTTACCTTTAAAGGGGAGGGGAAGGTTGGGAGTGGGATGATAAATTGGGGGCTCCTGAGGGGCTGGTAAATTTCTACTTCTTGATTCAGGTGTTGACTTGGGTGATAATTTGACTCTCATTTGTTAACCTGTACATTGATATGTTTTTCACTTTTTCTGTATGTAAAAAGACGATTCATAAACTTGACCAACATTCTCTGTATCCATTATTCAAGTTGAAAATTTGAGTTAGAAATGACTACTTTTTTTTTTAATATTTACTTTTTAGTTGTAGTTGAACACAATACCTTTATTTGTTTCTATGTGGTGCTGAGGATCGAACTCAGGGCCTCAAGCTTGCTAGGTGAGGYGCTACCACTGAACCACAATGCCAGCCAGAAATGACTACTTTTATGTGCAAAATATTTTCTAATTTTGTGATAAAGCAATTGGCTACACATCTAAGTCACTGATTTTTGTACAAAAGAACTGGTTCTTTGTACAAAAGAACTGGGTTCATGAGGTTGGTGACTGTTTCCAAACTGAGAAGCCTATTGTTTAATGCCACAGACTGAGGGAGGAAGGAATTTTCCATTTAATCCAAGAAGGATCACTTGCCTTTTGCATTTATTCAGCACAGAAAGGAGACAAAAAAGATCTCTAATTTCATGGGGTCTGTGTGAGACAGAGCCCTGCATCTCCACAGAACCTTGGCATTTAGTTGTTTTAGGTATTTGCTCTTGCATGACACCACTTTCCTGTTAAAGCATTTAACGATAAGAGAACACAGAGTGAATGAATGTGAAAGAATACAGTTCACTCACTCTTATTCATTCTTCCTATTTAGATCCAATTACAATGGACCCCACCTTTCTGATTAAATGTGATTAAACGAAAATTAGTCCCATGATTAAAGAAGTTAAACAAAAGGTGCCACTCCATGAATGAATCAAACTGGGGRTGGAGGGTGGAGATTATAATTATAAAGCTGCCATTCAGCCACGTTTCAGGGTTAAAAAGCAAGGGGTCATAYGTGAGTTTTATTTCTTTATGTTTTCCTGGAAAGTTTTTGTTTTATTTATTTCCTGCAATCGAAAAGGTTCAGGAATGTTTGAAAATGCCCCAGTGAAAGGTCCTRATTTCTGTCAATCTTGCCCAGTGGAAATACATAACCAAGTAAACAGATAAGAAGACTAGATCTGCAAATCATTTCCTCTATTCTCACAGCTGCCCCAAGCCACAGACAGGGTGGTTCTTTCTAGACTTAAGAGATCAATGCCATGTTCCATGTTAGTGAAGTGGAGTTCTCAGMAGCCTTCTCCTCACGCCATGCCAACTTACACCCGGGAAGGAAGACAATACAAAAAGTATTGTCATTAGTTGTGATGAAAATATCTTATAGTCCCTTGTAGAACTAACTCGAGAAAAGCTAGTCAGTTCTTGCTAAGTTTAAGCTTGTCCCATGAAGAGCATATTCCCCCCCCCACTTTTTTCAAAATAAGATAAAATATTCTCTTCTTTCTAATTTTAAAGCATCCATCCCCACCTGTCAGTCAGTAGGAGCAAAACCACAATGCTGGGCTAACAGAAGAAAGTTCATACCAAAGTGCTGTCTGCTTTTCCACCTTCTAGGGTCACTTCCAAATTAGAAAGGGCAGCTTCCACTTCGTCAACCTCGGACTCATTTGTAAAATCCTGTACCTCAGCCGACATCGACAATTTGCTGATGTGATACTAAAACGAAAATAGAGATTTTAGAAATGTTATAAATGTGAAAGGACCATTAGTCATTTCTTCTTTCAATCAATTCCCCTGGAATGCTGTACATCTCTTATAAGGAAGTCTCCTGCCTATGCAGGGAAAATGACATTTTAATTGGACTCATTCTGAGACTTATAGTTAGTCCTGTTCAAACTTGATTCTTTCCCATCACTGATGGGACTGGGTGGTAGAGGAGAGATCAGATTTGCAAGATGAATGCTTTACATAGGATGTGCGTATATGTGGACTATGAGGAACATCTTAAATTTAAATTGACTCTCCTCATTTTTATTTCTTTCACCAAAGAAACAAACAATGCTAGGCATGGTGGTGCACACCTGTAATCCCAGTGACTCGGGAGGTTGAGGCCAGCCTCTGCAACTTAGTGAGGCCCTGTTTCAAAGTAAAAAATAAAAAAAAGCTGGGCACATTTCTCTGTGGTAAAGCACCACCCCTGGTTTCAATCCCTAGCACCAAAAAAAAAAAAAAAAAAAAAAAAAAAAAAGCAAAAGAAACACATAGTATAAAGAATGGGAAGCTTTAAGCAGAAGAAACCTAGTTTCTTTCCAGTTATGAGAACCCAAGATCTCTACCTGTAGTGCTGCAAAGATCAGCATTTCTTCTTCTGTGCAGTCAATTTCTTCTAAGAGAATAGCCCACCTGGCTTGTTCATAGAGTTGGTTTATTCGGACAGCATCATACTAGAGAAATAAACAGATGTGTGTGTATATGTATATATAAAGACTTTTTTTCATATTCTACAATACAAAAATTCTGGAATAACTGAATCCATTCTCTGTGAATCAGATGCACTAAACCTTAGTTCAGGTAACTGAGAAGAGCAGTTCTGTCTTTCCATTGCTCCTGCTCATTTTGGTCCTGAACTCAGAACTTAATTTTCTCTAAATATTTTCCAGAGCTTCTTCAAAGAGCCAAAATAGCCTGYCTTAGATTCCATTATTTCCCATCTCTCTATTATTTTTCTATGGGTAGTAAAAACAGACAACAAAAATAGTTTACACTGTAAGTACTGTGATGAAGAGGGAGCCCAAGCTGATCAGTGAACTCTGACGGGAATTTTTAATGAAACTTTAAGCTGATTCTCAGTTAAGCTGGAAGATACGATGTTCAAGTATTGCCAATAAAATTTTGAAAAAGAAGGACAATATTGGGGGAGGCATTTGTCCTCCCAGATCTTAAAACAATTAATATAGTATAGCATCAGCATAGTGACAAAGTATATGCTAGGGTGATATCTGGAGATAGATCTATGTATCCATATTTAATGTAAAACAAAAGTGACATTGTATGCAAGTAGAGAAGGGAATAATTCAATACCATTCATGTTGAGAATGCCCAGTTATTTGGAGAACAAAAACCCAAAACAAAAAAATATACTTTAGAGGCTGGGATTCTGGCTCAGTGGCAGAGCACTTGCCTAGCATGTGTGAGGCACTGGGTTCCATCCTCAGCACCACATGTAAATAAATAAAATGAAGGTCCATTGACAACTAAAAAGAAAAAAGTATTTTTTAAAAATGGTGCTTTGCACCATCCAAAAATATAAATGATAGATGGACTAAAGATTAAATATACAAAACCACATGAGATACCTCTCACACCCACTATGATGGCTCTAATCTACAAGATAAGAACTAGCATTAGTGAGGATGTGGGGAAATTGGAACCCTTGTGCAGTAAAATGGTGCAGCCTCCATGGAAAACAGTTTGGTGGTATTTAGAGAGTTAAATACAGAATATGATTCAGCAATTCCACTCCTAGGGATCTACCCCAAAAGAGTGAAAGCAGGTACTCAAACAGATACTTGTATACCAATGTCAACAGCAGCACCATCCACAATAGCCAAAAAAAAGGAAGCAACCTGAGTGCCTGTCAATGGATAAGCAGATATATGCACACATGGAATATTATTCCCCCTTAAAAAGTAACGAAATTCTGATACATGATACAACATGGATGAACCTTGAATGAAATCAGACGTAAAAGGACAAATATCATGCAATTTCACTTAYAGGAACTATCCAGAAGAGGTAAATCCATAGAGACAGGAAAAGAGCAAGAAGCAAGAAGGAAGGAGAAACAGATGTACTTATGCTGTGCACTCAGAGGACCTGTCACCCAGCTTACATTTTCTGCCATTTAGTGGCTGACTCACAGCCCCACAAATGGCTCATCTGGAGCACAGAAAGGGCAGAATTTCAAAGCACTTATTTCCYGCCTGATTCCGTGTCCTAATACATTTCAGGGGGGAGGTGTGTACTGAGAGTGAGGGGGTGGCCAGCTAGAGTTTTCGTAGAGATGACACTTTCTCTCAGAGACTTCTTAGCGCTGCAGTCCTGTGTGCAGCACCTCGTGGTTCTGACATGCATGGGAACCTGCCCTTGACCCTGGCCTCTGACAGCTCCTTTCCTTCCTGTGGCATCAGGACTCCAGTGCTGGGAAACATTTGCTCTTATCCCTTCGTTCCTGTGAATGCAGGGGGCAGGGGCCACTGTGGTAGTCCATAAAGATCCCAGGAGACTCCTGTTAACCCAGGGACAGCTGACCTGCCCTCGAGAAACCAAGAGCTGAAAACTAAGAAACCAGTATATGTGTGTCAGTCTAACCCTGCTGAGATCAAGAGACCCCACAAATCGGCCCTAATTTTAATAATGAAATGACTCAGTTTTACACTTCCATGCATTCAGAGAGAGAGAGAGCCAGAGAGAGCGAGAGAGAGGAGGGGGGGACACAGAGAGAAAAGTTTTATATTTTCTTGCGAAAAGTTTTCTTACTTTAGGATTTAAATCAAAGAAAGTGTAGTATTTAAATCGTAACTGCAGTTGCTCATCCTCTTGGATTCCTTGTTCCATAAGGGAGCGTGAAGAATCTAGCCAACTAGAAAACAACAGGAGGGGTTATAAAAGCCAGTCAATTTTACATATGTACTTATTATATTATGTTATATATTATACTAGTATACACACACACACACACACACACACACATAATACACCCTTGAAGAGAGGCAGAATAAGAACATTGCAAAAAACTAGTAAGCATATAATAATAGCTTATAATTACATTTTATCTGAGAGTGTTTTAAGGTGATAGATATGTATATATGACATACACTATATGCATTTATATACATATGACACACACATGACATGTATATGTAAAGATGAGGTATATATGACATCTAAATATATGTCACCTTAAAACACTTTAAAATGCAGTTTTATATATACATATATATATACATATATTTTTTTTTCTCTCTCATTCTCATTAACACTCTAAAGTAATCCACTGAAGGAAAAAGGCAGTTTTTATTATCTATCTCAGTTTTATAGATGTGGAAACTGAGTCTTTTCTTTTTTTTTTTTTTTGGATACTGAGGATTGAACTCAGGGGCAATCGACCCTGAGCCACATCCCCAGCCCTATTTTGTATTTTTTATTTTATTTAGAGACAGGGACAGGGTCTCACTGAGTTGCTCAGTGACTTGTTTTTTTTTTTTTTTTTTTGCTGGGGCTGGCTTTGAACTCGTGATATTCCTGCCTCAGCCTCCTGAGCCACTGGGATTACAGGCGTATATCATGGCACCTGCCTGGAAACTGAGTCTTGGTGACGTTAGGCAATCTATTCAAAGTCGCAGTCACGTGGTGGAGCCAGCATGGCAGTCTGTCCCAACTGCCTCGGTACCAGGTAGTTCACTCCAAAGCTAGGCCTATCTTACTGTCTAATGCTTTCTGCAATGAGGGAAATATTCATATTCGTGCTGTCCAATGTATTCACTTTTAGCCATCTGTGGCTGCTGAGCATTAAATGAGGTTAATGTTTCATTTTAATTTTAATTAATTTACCCCAAATTTAGATTTTAAATATTTCTATGTGGCTTGTGGTTCTTGTACTGATGATCTCATTTTCAAGTTGAAAAATAAAAGCTGGGTAATGGGGAGGGGTAGAGGGATGGAGACTAAAAGTTGGTAACAAAATGCTGTGGGGTTGAGCATCACTGAATACCACTGAACAGAAGTGGCCTGAACTCCTATTCTATTACTCCTTGTGGAATAGCAAGAATAATCAAGATATAATCTCCTTTCTAAAGGAGATGACAATCTTTGGCTGGGTTGGGGGGTGGGGGGCGGTGATCAAGACTTATAATAAAGGAACAAGGTGATAGTGGAGTAAGGTATGTCAGGGAAGTGACTGATCAACCTGGATTAGTGATACTCAGGAAGAGGCCTATGGTTGAGCCTTCAGAGACTGAGGAGTAGAGACAGGAGGTGGAGCAGTGACAGAAACAGTCCCCCCATGAAGGAGGGACAGGAGGTCACAGTAGGACACAGAGACACCCATGGGAGTCAGGTCTTACGGAGAGTGACTGCTGTTAAAAAGGTTGACTCTGTTTGGTGGGCAATGGAAAATGAAAGAAATGGTGGTTTGAGAAACCGTGAGGGGGTATTTTCTGAGAACATTTCAAACAGAGGCCCTGGACTTGCCCTTAGAAGGCCTACAGGGACAACGTGAGCCAGGTGGACCACCTTGGATCTCCCCAACTGGTTCATGAAAACCAACATACTCATAAACTACTCACAAACATTCCATAAAGCATCYTTTGCACACCTGGAGCAGAAGAGAATTATATTTACATACATCAATCCATTGAGTTACCCAAACACACAGATTTGATTACAGTTGAAAGGTACGGAAATGACCACAGGCTGCATTTATGCCTTTTTTTGCTGCTTAAGTCAACTACTAAAGCACAATTCCCAGGACTCTTAACTTCAAACTTAAACACTCCCTGATCTCCGGGACAACTCTCTCACTAAGAGAGAAGCAAAATAGAAGTCACGTCCTTACCCTGCGTTAAGCTTGGCTTTATCAATCAGAGACCGAGGCTGGTACATATCAGCAAGTGCCTCTGGTGACGGGGGTGGCTGGCTGAATGCGAGGATGTTGCAGTTCTGTTCTGTTAAAGGGCTGTCAGTGAACCAAGTTATGGTGGAGGATGCCGGAGTCCCACTGAYGGGGTCATAGGTAGGAGTCATGGTCTTACTGTATAAGCCTGGACTTCCTGCAAAGCAAGAGGAAGATGGATCTCATGAGAGATTCAGGTGGGAATTTTTAGAAAAAAGAAGTACTCCCATTCCTTACACTAAAATGAAATTTGACTTTCAATGTTTATATCATTTAGAATGATCAGAGGAGTTATGATGGTTAGGAGATCAGTTATAGACAGACCAAGACCTTGTCTACTGTATATTCAGTTTCTGGGAAACTCAAAGATTTAAAAGTTTCCTCAAATAAAAAATGTTGGGGACCATTTTTCTAATTCAAAGCTCTCTTATTTCAACAGAAGCCTCGACGCTATTAGAGAACTGGGGACCTCACAGAGTGCAGGTACAAAATATGTTTCAGGTACTCCTGAATCACATAGCAGTGCTTGCCCAATTTTAAGAATACAGCAAGTTAATTATCTGGCTCAAGTTTGCATAAGGTACACAGACCTCTTTTATTCTTTGCATTGCAATATACTGCACAAGAAAGCCCTCAATATTGCAAGCATGCTAGAAACTTGATTATTTTGATATAAAAAGAAAATTATGATACCTCTCCAGAATTTTTACCTGGAGAAATTTCCCCTCATTCCCAATGAGAACTTGAATTCAGGAAAGAATTGCACTAAAATAGAATCAGGAAGAGAAAAGTATATTTGAGTAATCCAAAGTATCTCCTTTTTAAATATTATTTTATCCCCGTATCCCTGGTTTATGGACATCTACCAAAATTTTCCATTCTCAGAAACACAAGATTTGCAATTACAACAATGAATTATTAAGCTTATCTGCTGAAAACAAAAAGGTCTGAAATAAAATTTTGTTATTTCCAAACTTAACTAGGTAGCTCTTCCTTATCTCATTGATCCTAAAATTTTATTCCTCCTTTGAGGGGAAGAGAGAGGCCTATTTTCCCTCTTTGGTTTTCAACTACATTCACAAATTAAAACAAATCTTACTTACCTGGTGACCCTGTTGGAGAACTCTCCAGGTTGAGAATATCTTCAATGATGGGCTCCTTATTATTTTTATCTTTCTTTTTCTTTTTCTTAAAAAAGTCACCAGAAGGCTTTAACAAGGAAAGTTCTTCTGATCTTCTAATATCTAAAATAAAATAATAAATAATAATTTTTTTTAAAAAAAAGAAGAAAAATAAATAGGATAAAGAGCATTTCGAGACTCAGAGCCATTTTCTGCATTTAACACCACGTCTCCAGAAATCCCCGGGAAGTAAACAGAACTAAGTTGAATCACTTTTAAAGACATAAAAGGGGAATAGTTGTCTTTAGACTCTCTAAACTGTGTGTGTCTGTGGGTCAATAGTGGAGGAAGATTCAGTCTAATACAATTTCTAGTTTGCTTTTTAATTTATTATGAAAATACTTCAAATACATTCAAAGCAAAGGAAATAGCATAATATCCTCCTCCCTACACTTCACTGCCAGCCTCAACCACTACTAGCGTTGTACCACTGTTGTGATTTCCATTTGCCACCAACTTTTCCCTGCCTCCCTCTGTTTTGTTTYTGTCTTAAAAAAAAAAAAAAAAWCAAGGGCCCATCTCCTTTTTTCTTTGTGGACCCCAAACCCCTAAAACCTTCATCTCATACACTGTCCAGCAGGTCTTTTCACACCTTGCCACCTCTTCTGGGCGCTGGCCATTTCACTGCTTCCAGAGCCTTTGTGTCTCTGCCTGAGGGCTTGCTCTGGAGGCCAGCAGGGCACGCAATGCTCTCCAAAATCATCCCTCAGTGGTGCACAAGYACATTGTCCCTAAGGTGGTAAGCCCCAAGGCTGCGGCTGAACTGYCTGAGGTCCCCAGTGGCCCACAGCTGAGGTTTGATGGTTTGATATTTCCAATCTCACTTCCCCACCCACACCTGGTGTTTACTGATAACATCTGCTAAGAAACTGTTTATACTTGACTTCTCTCCTSGGGGGTCTGCTTCCATAGATCCCAGACTAAGATAAGCCCCCTTCCCTGCCATTCACCCAATATGTGCATTATATTGCTGATCAGAATTGCCAATAACCATTACCACAATGAGTGGCTATAACACCAGGAACAAGCCAAGGGATGTGATGACCGAGGGTCCCTGGGCAGCATTCCTGGGTGTCAGTGCACTGGCTCCTGTTAGATTCTCTAGTTCAATCAGTTCACACACTGCTTAGTACCAAAGTGGAGCCCAGCAGTGCAAATTGATTCTCTCCCCACTGGCCCGGGATGTCTGACTGACAGGTTGCAAAGCACACCTGCGGCCACTCAGAATGCATGATTTATGCACACGCCTAGAGATGAACCAAAAAGYCTGGCTAAAGGTGCAAGCATTAAACAAAAATCAATAGCAACACCTCTATCTCCAAGTCCATGATCTGTGTTCTCCCTCCACAGCCCCCGACTGACACACACGGGGCGGTGGKGGGGGGGGACCTTATACAACCTAAATGGATTTAGCTTCAGTTGATCAGATATAAAAAGACAATGAATGGAAATGCCAACTTCCTTCCTTGCCTCCTGGGTTTTACTGTACTGGGGCACTAAAACACTGAGCTACATCCCCATCCCTCTTTAAGATAGGGTCTTGCTAAGTTGCTGAGGCTGGCTTCGAACTCAAGATCCTCCTGCCTCAGCCTTAGAGTCACAGGAATTACAGGTGTGTGCCACTGCACCTGGCTCATGAAGTGCTTTCTGCCCTCGTGCTATTGTACTGGCCCTCCCTGTGCAGCACTGGCATTCCTAATCCTACTGACCCTTCCCCTCTTTTCTCTACATCGTCKTCCCTTTTAAAACATCCTCTATTATTTTCTTATGACACTTATTGGCTATTATCTGCCTCTGCCTGCTAGGATGCAAGCACCTAGAGGGCAGGAAACCTAGCAATCTTTATCACTGATGTCTCCCCAGCKCTCAACACGCTGCCTGTCACATAGTAAGTGCTCAGTAAACATTTGTTGAATGATGCTGTTCACAGTTGAATGGAGGAGACAGATTCCTCAATGATATATTATGTATTGGGTGTTCAAGAACTGATTTTTGGTCTTAGWATCAAACTTCTTTGATATGAACACTATCAAAAATAAACACTTCAAAAAAATATAAAAGGAGAGCACCTTCATAGACCCAGTTTTCCTCCTTTTATGGAATCTCAAAAAGAAGAAATGGGTTAAACAGTGTTGTCTCTATGAGTGTTTTACTTTGGGACACAGATCCATAAGGAATTAGGCTTCCATTCACAATTAGTGTACTTTTCTGCTTAAAATAAATCTCACTGGTAAATTGTGTGAACACAGCTATTTGCTGGAGTCAGGTGTTAGTGAAGTAATGGAGACAGCAGCAGCAGCAGCAGAAGAAGAAGTGAAGATACRTCAGCTCTTTCAGTGATGAAGGGTTTAACAGAAACTCTTTGGGGGGGGTTTCTTTAATAATGATTTGAGCATAGTTTGAAGAAATGAATTTGCAGAACAATCTTCGTGGTTTGTCTCTTCTATCTATGAAGGTCTTTAGTTTTTGCTCCCTAGATTTAACTGATTTATTTATTTATCTTTTTTCCCCTATTTTTTATTGGCGCATTCTTATTGTACATAATGGTGGGGTTTACTGTTACATATTTTCACATGCAAATGAGATGCAAACACATGCAAACATAACAACAAAACTGGACCAATATCACTTCCCAGTATTCCCCCTTTTTGTTCTCTCCTCCCTGACCTGGTCCCTTACCTCTACTCTATTGATTGCCCTTTGAACTTCATGAGAGTCTCTCAACTCTTCTTTTCCTTTTTACTTTACAAATGTCTTTAAAAATTTTTTTTTTTTTTAGTTGTAGATGCACACAATACCTTTATTTTATTTATTTATTTTTAGATGGTGCTAAGGATTGAACCCAGTGCCTCAACACATGCCAGGTGAGCACTCTACCACTGAGCCACAACCCCAACCCTACAAATGTCTTTTTGAAACAGTTTTAAGCTGTATGGAAATGAATCTGATGTGGGTCAAGGATGTTCTATTTGGTTTAACTGCACTGCGATGGCTGCAGTATCTGGACTTTGCGGTGTACTTCCCAATAAAGAGGGTGTTTTCTTTTTTTTTTTTTTAGAGAGAGAGAGAGAGAATTTTAATATTTATTTTTTAGTTCTCGGCGGACACAACATCTTTGTTGGTATGTGGTGCTGAGGATCGAACCCGGGCCGCACGCATGCCAGGCGAGCGCGCTAMCGCTTGAGCCACATCCCCAGCCCCTAAAAGCGGGTGTTTTCTAATCAGCCATTCRGGGTATGCAGAAAGCAGCAAACACTAGCGTCTAAAGGGCACAGGGGCCCCTGGGGTACTCACTCAGGCTTTTGCAGATGTCACTGACAGCCTTAAACACCACAGCCGAGAAGCTGACTCGCAACCTCACCGTCTTCATGTTAGGCAGCCGAAGGCGCAGCATTTTGTGCTGGGGGGTGAAGAGAAGCTTGGCATCTGCCTGAACCCCACATTTGTCCAGGGTCCAGTGGGTTTTCAGAAGCCAGCAATGTTTCTGTTCCCACCAAAGAGCAAAGTCTGACCAGTCTTGAGCTATGTCTACAGAGATGGAAGACACAATTAGGCAAAATGAGGAGAAGTAGAAGGAGCTCTGGAGGGTTCAGACTCCCCMGGAATCCATTTCACTGTGTGTAAAACCTGGAATGAACAACCCTCTTTGGCTCCCCATCTCTTTTTATAGCTCAAGGCTCAACAATCCTTGGCTTCTCTACAGTCACCAAGGCCTGACAGGGAGAAAACAATGAATGAACCCTCCCATCATTTACATTTAAGTAGCAGGAAGAGCAGAAGCATGACATTTTCGTTCTTGAGGAATGATGAAGTTATTTTTCCTAAAATCCCTCTGTGCCACTGTCCTTTCTGGAAGGCCAAGAGCATGTGCCTTTGTTTAATGCATCTTATTTCTCTCACAGAAATAGATCCTTATTCTGGGTGCAGCAGCGCATGCCTGTAATCCCAGCCGCTSGGTAGGCTGAGCAGGAGGATTGCTAGTTCAAAGCCCAGTCTCAGCAATATAGTGAGGCCCTAAGCAAGTTACTGAGACCCTGCTTCAAAAATAAAAAAAAAAAAAAAAAAAAAGAAAGAAAAGGGCTGGGGATGTGGCTCAGAGGTTAAGCACCCCTGGGTTCAATTTGTGGTACCAAAAAACAAAAAAAACAAAAACAAAAACAAAACAGGAAATGGATGGATCCTTACACTCCGGATCACAAGGGAATATCAACAGCCCCCAAAGTCCACACAGAAGTGCAGTAAAGCTGACATTTCCCTCTCTCAATAATGGCCTAGTCTTCTAGTAGCACCACAGTCCCATTTTCAAAACATCTACACCAAAATCAGAGTTGCATGCTTTCTCCCTCTCAACGTTAGCACTGATMTTGAATCTTTCCTCTCCTTCAACACTGGCTTAAAGGTGAATTCCTTCATCAACCTTGTAGTCAATATTCAACCATTCTTTCTGCTAAATACAGGGTTGCTAGTGTTTTTGTATGGATAGGAAGTGTCTCCATAGATTTTATGCTAAAGGCTTGGACCCCACCRTAGCAGTGTTTAGAGGTGGGGATTTGGGCAAGTGATTGGATCCTGGGAGCTCTGATCTCATCAATGGATTAATCTATTGAAGGTTTCACAGCTGATTCTAGGTTGAGAACGTGGGTCACTGGGGCCAGGTCTGGGAAGGACATAACTAGTCCTTATCCCCTTCCTTGAGCAAGTGTTTTTTTCATTCTCTCTCTTTCTCTCTCYCTGTCTCTCTCTCTCTCTCTTTCCTTGAGATCTGAGGCAGATTCACACAATGAAATATTATATAGCAGGAAAAATATTATATAGCAGGAAAATGAAATAACATGAGTGAATATCTCAGACGCAATGTTGGGTGAAAGATGTGTAAGAGTATATCCTGTATAATTACATTTATATGAAGTTCAAAAACAAGCAAAATTGTTCCTGTGATGTTAGAGGCCAGGATAGTAGTGACCCTTAGTAGACTAACAACTAGGAGAAATCAGATTTGGGGCGTGGGTCAGGGAACAGATTAGGAAACAGGTCATGGTCTATTAATCTGGGTGATTAGTTACATGACTGAAAATTCATTGAATCATATCCTTATGATAAATGTACTTTTCCACATTTCAGTCAATTTCCTTAAAAAGGCTTTATCTCATTAGCATAAATAGGGAAGCTATTACCAAAGTCTTTTCATAAACAAAGGAAATAGAATGTCATCAAATTTTAGGCCTAATAATGTTGACATGGTGACCTCCTGATGTGAAGACTCTCACCCAAGAGACTTCACTTTCTCTGTTTGAACAAGTACAGTAGCAGATGATAGAGAAATGTTTTTATAGTTTGAGTCTGAAATGTCCCCCAAAAACTCACATGTTGAAGGTCTGTCCCCAGCTGGTGACAGTACTGGGAGGTGGTGGAAAATTTAGAAGGTGGTCTAGTTGTAGGAAGCAGATCACTGGAGGCATGCCTTTGAAGGGTTTATTTTTCCTGCTTGTTCTCCCCCCCCCCACACACACACTTCCTAGCCACCAWGAGGTAACCTCTACCACATGCTCCTGCCATAATGTTTGGACTTACCCCAGACCCAAAGTAATGGAGCCTACTGGCTGTGAACTAAAACATCTGAAATCACAAGCCAAAATAAACCTTGCCTTTTTAAAGTTGATTGCCTCAGGTATTTTGTCACAGTGACAGAAGGCTGATTAACACATCGGCACCAAATGCACTTTATCATTGATCAATCAAGTATTAACAGAGAACTGATACAGTGGTTTAATGCCATGTCACCTAAAATCATCTTAGACATCACCGGTGGCAAGGACTTTGTCCATGTGGAAGTATAGCACTCTACCTATTTGGGAACATGAGTTTGTCACCAAAGACTCAAGTTTTCACAAARGTGGTAGATTTTGTTTGAGGTTCCTGCAGGACCCATTATTTCTTTCTGTCCTGGAAGAGATTGGGGAACAAGGAAGAGGGCTATGCTCTACAGGCAACTGTGAGATGAATGACCAGAAGAAATTACATGATCCGGCAACCTAGACCAACTATGCAGCAGTGATGTAGCAAAGAGCATTTCTACTACACAGAAACCATCGAGAAAGAGGAACTTACTGATCTTTTCTACCAACTTGAGCATCACACCCCCGACATGCAGGTCTCCGGACACTCTCAGTGTGATGTCTCTTGGCTCCTTTTCATTTGGATTGTGAACTTGGACCATGAGCTCCCAGGATGCAGATGCAAAGTCACTGGATGAGATCATAGTGGCACAGGCAGGTGTCTGTCGAATAAAAATGAGGACATAGATCAGAACAGGTGAGAAGGGAACTGGAAAGGGCTAGTAGATCCTGCAGAACAAAACATTTTTTTGTTTTTGTATTTGATTTTTGCCTGGTCTTCAAAAGATTCCACAGCGTTCCTGGTGCCCAGACATTAAATTCAGCATCTTAATAGTAGAGACAAAATGTCTTATAAAAATGGACCTAAATCATCTAAATTTATGTATTTTATCTTTCTCTCTACATTCGCACCTCCAGGACCCTTTGGCTATGTTTTGTTGTTTGCCCATTTAATACATCAATTTTTACTTTCCTTCTCTATTGAGTTTTCTCGGCTTTCTCTGAACTATTCCAACAAAAGTCAACTCTCCATGGTATATTTTTTWAAAAAATCAACATTATTGAGGTACAATTCACCTAAAACAAAACACGCAGATTTTAAATGACATACAGTTTGATGTATTTTGTTGCAAGCAAATTGTACTTCAACAAAGTTGACTTTAAAAAAAGATTCCATTAAAACTTTTTTCTATCTTTAATAAATTTGTATTACCACATTCCTTCCCCAAATATCTGTATCTTCTGGCATGAAAGCTCAAAAAAATAAAAAATAAAAACACAGCAAAATTATTTCTATGTCAGTCATATTCTACTTTAAATACATATAAGTAAAGATATAGGCCATTAATAATCAGTGCCATGTATTTGATTTACTTAAGTTACTGTATTAGATCATATAGAAGTTGATATGTAAATGCACTTTTGACCAAATAATTTTAAAACAGGGTGAGACACATAAAAAGCTTACTCTTCAAAGTGCAGATGGGGGTGGGAACTTCAAACCTCTTAGCTCAAAGGAAGAAAACTAAGCAGTATCAACACTAAAATGTATCAGGGGTTATAGGAACATTCGAATCCAAAATTGGCAAGACTAAAACTTGAGATGTCAGTGTCTTTTAAATAGTAAGAAATGATACTACAAATCATTTGGTTTTTCCCAGTGTAGGCCTTATGAAAACATGGATTTCTCATAATGATTTAAATGATCTTAAAACAATGCTCTCATATTTCCACATCAGGGTTTCTTTTCTAACTATAGGCACACAGATCCCTTGGGGATCTTATTAAAATGCAGATTCTGGTCTGGGAATGTGGCTAAAGCGGTGGCGAGCTCGCCTGGCATGCATGCAGCCMGGGTACGATCCTCAGCACCACAAACAAAGATGTTGTGTCCGCCGAAGACTGAAAAATAAATATTAAAAAATTCTCTCTCTTCTCTTCTCTTCTCTTCTCTCTCTCTCTTTAAAAAATAAAATAAAATAAAATAAAATAAAATGCAGATTCCATTCAGCTGATCTGGAGTAGGGCCCTGGGCTCCTGCATTTCTAACAGCTCCAGTGATGCTTTGTAAGGATTCTGGCTGTGGAAATGTACAAGGCAGTGTTCCTCTGGTGAGCAAACTCCTAGAAGGTTACAGGCACTCTGTTTCCACACTTAGAATGTTTCTCCCTGGAACTAGTAAGATACATGCTCAGTGCCTAGCTGCTATGGTAATRTCCTTCTGAGGAGGCTCTGTGYTGCATATAYAGTCTTATCAGCTTTGACCCTGGGTTTTTTTTTTTTTTAAAGTTTTTATTTATTTATTTTTTTAGTTGTAGAGGGACACAATACATTTATTTTATTTATTTATTTTTATATGGTGCTGAGGACCGAACCCAGTGCCTCACACGTGCTAGGCAAGCGCTCTACCCCTGAGCTATAACCTAGCCCCAGGAACACTGTTTTATAACAAATCAAGTTGAACCTATCATGTCATACTACTTTTGAGTTTATATGAAACTCCACATTTGTTAGCGCCAGGAGAATCTAGTTAAATAGAACAGCTCTGCAAACCTGAACAGGCTTAGAACAGATTTAGTATGTCTGAATCAATCAAGAGTTCAGAGTATTTCCTAATGTTTTATAACCAGAGGATTCAAAGGCGGCGATACATAGATACATATACCTTTCAATGCAGAGGTTCACAGGGCAACTTCTTGCATAAGCAATGCCCTGAAGAGATTATATGAGGCCTCACTGTTGGCTTCTGTCATCATTAGTTTGCAGTATTATTTTCTGGGTAATGCATTGTTCATTAACTATTGTCCTTGAGTTACCTCCTTCACCCTCTGGGCAATTCCCATTTCTAAATGAGGAAACTCAGGCTCAAAGAAGTTAGGCTACTTGTCTGAAGTAACACAGGTTAGATAGTGGAGCCCAGACATTAACCCACATCTTTCTTACTCCTACTTGCCTACCACACTCKGAAACGTCCTGGGTAATTAATAGGAAAGATAATGCTTAAAACCACAGAGTGAAACTTTTCACAGCCTTTACCATGTATTTCTATCAACACAAATCTTTACCCAGTGGAGAGACAATAAAGACAGCCCCTTCATAGGTGAACTCACAACTTGGCATTGAAATGCTTGACTGCAAGAGCCTTATAATTTCCAAATTACTATGYTCTGAGCTTTCATTTTAAAATGTTTTGTACATAAAGAAAATGACCTTTCTTTTAAGGTGACTCCTTGCTGCTGTTCCACGGACAATCAGACACCAGGTCTTTTCCTGACCCTTGTTGATTAAAACACCCCTTGTATAGGCAATAGATGGTGATTTCCTTACAACGAAGTCCCGCCTGGTTCTAACCTGTTTTCCCCACATTCCTTTCCTAYCGTTCTGAGCCTTGTGTTTTTGAATGAACTTCTCATCTGCAGCAAGTTGTTACTTGTTGAAAACAGCAAACTTTAGCTGGGGAAAACATATCTTAGGAGACCCAAACAAGAAACAAAACGCAACGGGAGACGTGCCTTTCCGGGTGAAGTTCAGCGGCCCTTCACAGAAAATGCCAGAGAGAAATCGAGGAAAAAGGGTAGGTAGTGGGAGATAAGCYCCACGCTTTCCCTGGAGGATCAGGTGGTGCTCAATGTCTGAAGGCCATTTGTTCTGTTTGTCACTAGCACTGCGGGGTCCTGGGGTGGGTGCCTGGTGGGCAGAAACCTGCCCCTTACCCATTAATGCTGCAGTACCTGGGACTGGACATAAAGTTTTTTGCGCAGCCAGAAGCACAGGCCAAAGAAAGTGGTCGCACCCCAACGACATTATTTTCAATCCAACAGCCATTTAACTGAAGAGGGCTGCACCAGTGAAGGGGACAGCGGTCTCAAGACTCAGCAAGCAGCACGCATCAAAGCCTCCAGAACCCCTGTCCCCAGTTCTAAGCCCTGAGCACCCACCTTCTTTCCCGGGGCCTGTTGCGTCCAGTCTTGAAGATCGATACGTGAAAAGGTGCACCCCTAGAGACCAGGGCAGATACCACCCCAGGCGGGGCTGGGGACGGCGCTAGCGAGGTGGAACTTGCGGGGACAAGCTGTCGCAGCGGCAGTTCGGCTCGGTTGTGGCAGGCAGGGGGAGGTGGCTTGGGTGCAATGGCGAAGCTGCTCGGGGACCTCCCGCAGAGGCTCGGCGTCTGCGGGCAGCCCAGCACCGCGCACCAGGTGCACCTTCTTGGTACGCGGCCCCCAGCTACACCGCCAAGGCCAGCGCAGCGGGGCAGGCGAGAGCACGCCCAGCCCCGGGCTTGCCTAGTCTTGCTGTCCAGGAGAGCAGGCACAGTCTACGGATTTTTTTTTTTTTTTTTTTTTTTTTTTTTAAGAGCAAAAGGTGGTAAAAGGGGTGCTTTGGGGCAAGATGGCTGGAGGACCTGGGACATGTGCTCACCCTGCGCCCTCTCCAGCTGCCTCTTATCCCTCTTTTCTTAGACTACCTCGGATTTTCCCAGCACCCCCCCACCCCCCACCCCGGGATCGGCCCAGTGCTTGAAGTTTTGCACTTTTCCTTCCCTCAAGGTCCACCAACTGTCCCCACCCGCTGGGTGTGCGCAGCTCTGGAAAATCCCGATTTCCTGGTCAGAACAGCTTTCATTTTTTYAAAGAGCCCAGGAGCGCTTGTGATCAGCGACGTGGGAAAAACAAAACGATTCATCTCTGAGTAAGGCGTGATGCAAATCCTCAAGAAGATTTGATACCTAAGGATGGAAGATCCCCTGGTGACCCAAGGCCAATACTGGTGAGGCAGTCTGGACCGCGCCTGGATAGCTCATATCAGGATCATCACTCAGTCCAGACTGTTAATTTCCTGTCGAATTTCATTGGTTTCATTCCCTACAAGTTGGTCTATCCAGTATAATATTCCCTTTGCTATTCAGATCATTTAAAATATTTTTTTTCAAGGTCTTCTGTTTTGAGATTATCATTTTGTATGACTTTATTTTTCTTTACACTAAGTGGGGATTGGTGGCTCTTAGTATTAAAGTATTGCTTTCTATTTCTTTATTCAAATCTCTCCATCTTACCTTTTTATTTTTTGGAAGTATGATGTGAGTTGCAAGTGTATCAACTCTTTTGCAATACTACTTTTATCTTTATGCAATACTACTTTTCCTCTTTTCAAAAAAAATTTTTAAATTTAAGATATTTTATCTCATATAACTTTTTGTTTTAAAATGTGTTGCATACCATAATTTTTCTATCCCAGCTTTCTTTTGCCGACTTTCATATGTAACATTCTTATATCCTTATGCTTTCAGTCTGTGTCCTTAGATTTAGTAGCCTGTAGATTACATAGTTGTATTTTTTTTAGATATAATTCTATTATTCAAGCTTTTCGTTTTGATTGGTGTTATGTAATAATGCATTTATAATTAAATGAATTTCTAAAAGTGGGAAAAAAAGAATCTTTTGTGTTCATGGTGCAAATAATGAAATAGTATCTATTATTAGTTACCCATACACTGATAAACTGACTTGGAAATTAACACTGTCAAAAAGGAAAATCTTGTCCTATTTGGGAGTCTAAGGTAGGAGGATCACAAGTTCAAGGTTAGTTTCAGCAAACTGGAAAGACCCATGTCACAAAATAAAACATAAAAAGGGCTGGGAATGTAGTTCAGGGG